CCTTTATGACCTGGGGATTTCTCTTTTCACCAATTTCTATTCTTCACAGATTGTAATTGATTTCAGAAGCCTGACTTTAATGTATGAATTTATTTGTAATCATCTGCTATTTTCACTGCTAAACTTGCAGTCTTAACTCTCTGTTCTTCCAAATGAGTCATCACTACTCAAGAACCATCACTACTTCAATGCCCTTATCCATCTATCAAAATTACTTTGTTTGATCCTTTCAAACTCAATGTACGTTTCACAAGATTCCCTCTTTAGATTCCTAAAAAGCTGTCTGTAGGCCTCTGGAACTACGTCATATGCACTTAAAATGGCTTTTTTCACCTGATCATACTCCCCAGATACTTCCTCTGATAGTGATGCAAATACCTCATTGGCTGTACCTACCAACTTTGTGACCACCTGAACACCGGTATTTTCATTTGTTTAGCCACTTTCTCAAATGAAATAAAGAAAGCTTCTATGTCCTTCTCGTCAAACTTAGGCAATGCTTGGACATATTTAAACAGATCCTCACCAGGCCTTTGGCTGCAAAGGGATTGCTGTCCTTCACTGTTCTCATCACTACTCCTACCTTTCACCTTTACCTCAGCTATTTTAAATCAACTTTTGAGTTTTCAGGTCCAATCTCTGAAGTTCAAAAACTTTTGGTTTATTCCCTTCTCCTGCTGGGCCTTTCCTTTCCTTTTTTTTTATCCCTCTGCTTTCAGTCATAATTCAAACTCTTTTGTTACCTTATCTCTTTCTTTTACTTTTGTGCACAATTCAAGTTGCTTCGTTTACAGTTGAATTATAACCATTTCCAAAGATTCCAATAGCATTTCAGGCGATCGTAAATGTTGAGCTATTTCTGCAATTACCTCCCCTTTTTGCACAGACAAAGGCAATCTCCAACTCCAGCTTGTCTGCCAATTCCGAAATCTTTGCCTTGCTCACTTTCTGTAAAACTCCTGAAGTGACTTCTTCTACCCCCAAGAAACTCTTAGTAACTGAAACTTCCATTACTACACAAGGCACACACAATCTAAACCAATCAAATGCAATGGCTGAAAAGAAAACACCAGCACTCACCACTCACTGTCTTTAAGTCCAGTACCTCTAAAACTAACCTTGACTTAGAGATTTTGATCCCAACGAAAACCCCCAATTGGTTATGGGCCAGACCAAAGTCTGCTCAAAATATATTAAAAACATAGCCTAGAACCCAACTTTTTCTTATTTTTAAAGGCAAGTGTAAGGTGTTGTGTTCCGTCTGCAATTTGATTGATCAAACTATCAGGCTTGAAACAAAACATTCTTTATTCTTACACTATAGTTAAAATACAAAGGAAAGAAAAAAAGAATTAGAATAACGTAACTTTATTGGAAAACTTAACAGAATAATAGATTATGTAACTGCTAAGCAACAACTGTTCCAAAATAGTAACATCCCATAAACATACCCTTGGCAAAGGCAAATTCAGTAAAACAGATTGTCTCACGTGGAATGTTTCTCCAGACCAGGTGGAAAGAATATCAAGAGAAAACTCTGAGAGAGAAAGACAATTCAAGTGTTTTGTTGTAGCAGGGAGAGAATGTATAGCAGCTTCCAAACCCCAACAGCAACTGAAAGTTAAACTAAAATCCTGGTTCTATGGAAGCTTGACCCCGCCCCTTCATTCTGATTCTATTGTTCCAACTTAAAAAAAAACCCAAGGCCTCACAAGCTGTTAACTTTATTGGCTTGGAACAGATGACTGTCATTTCTGACTCAGCCTCACTTCATAAAAAAACCAGGACAAAATACACCCCTTAAAATCATAGTATTGTCACATATTCAAAAGGGAGGGACATAAAAAGGTGATAACTTTAGGCTAATTAGACTATCATGTATTATTGGAAAATTATTGCAATCAATTAATAAGGAAGTAATAGCAGAACATTTGTAAAATCATAATCTAATCAAGCAGAATCAGCATGTCTTAATGAAAGGGAAATTGTGTCTGACTAAGTTAGTAGAGTTTTTTGAGAAAGTTTCAACTAGAGTGGATAGAGGGAAACCAGTAGATGTGTTGTATTTGGACTTCCAGGTGTTTGACAAGGTATCTCAAAAGGTTAAGTCATAAGACAAAAGCCCATGTTGGCAGTATACTGGCATGGATAGAGAAATGGCTTTTGGCAGGAAAGGAGATAAGGGGTTCTTTTTCACGTTGGTGACCTGTGGAATTCCAGAAGGATCAGTGCTGGGACTACAACTGTTTACAATATAAACTAATGACTTAGAGGAAGGAACTAAATGTCGTGTAGACAAATTTGTAGACGACACAAAAATAAGTGCAAAGGCAAGATTTGAGAGGGATACAAACAGTTTACAGAGAGACAAAGAACAAAGAAAATTACAGCACAGGAACAGGCCCTTCGGCCCTCCAAGCTTGCACCGACCCAGATCCTCTAACTAAACCTGTTGTCCAATTTTCCAAGAATCTGTATCCCCCTGCTCCCTGCCCATTCATGTATCTGTCTAGGTACATCTTAAATGACGCTATCTTGCCCGCCTCTACCACCTCCACTGGCAACGTGTTCCAGGCGCCCACTACCCTCTGTGTAAAGAACTTTCCCACGCATATCTCCCTTAAACTTTTCCCCTCTCACCTTGAAATCGTGACCCCTAGTAATTGAGTCCCCCACTCTGGGAAAAAGCTTCTTGCTATCCACCCTGTCTATACCTCTGATGATTTTGTAGACCTCAATCAGGTCCCCCCTCAACCTCCGTCTTTCTAATGTAAATAATCCTAATCTACTCAACCTTTCTTCATAGCTAGCGCCCTCCATACCAGGCAACATCCTGGTTAACCTCCTCTGCACCCTCTCCAAAGCAGCCACATCCTTTTGGTAATGTGGCGACCAGAACTGTACGCAGTACTCCAAATATGGTCGAAACAAAGTCCTATACAACTGTAACATGACCTGCCAATTCTTGTACTCAGTACCCCGTCCGATGAATGAAAGCATGCCGTATGCCTTCTTGACCACTCTATCGACCTGCGTTGCCACCTTCAGAGTACAATGGACCTGAACACCCAGATCTCTCTGTGCATCAATTTTCCCCAGGGCTTTTCCATTTACCGTATAGTTCGCTCTTGAATTGGATCTTCCAAAATGCATCACCTCGCATTTGCTTGGATTGAACTCCATCTGCCATTTTTCACCCCAACTCTCCAATCTATATATATCCTGCTGCATTCTCCGACAGTCCCCTTCACTATCTGCTACTCCACCAATCGTAGTGTCATCTGCAAACTTGCTAATCAGACCATCTATACCTTCCTCCAGAGAAAAACTGCAGAAAGCTGCAACACAAAAGAACTTGGGACATTTTTTCATGAAACACTGGAAACTAACACACACCATGCAGCAGGAAATCAGGAATGCTAATGTTACGGCAGCCCTTATTTCTAGCGGATTGGATTATAAGAGTAGGGAAGTCTTACTGCAACTGTACAAGATACTGGTGAGACCACATCTGGAGTACTGCAAGCAGATTTTGTTCCCTTATTTGAGGAAAAACATAATTCCATTGGAGGCGGTTTAGAAGTCTCACTAAGATCATCCCTGGTGTGGAGGGATTGTCTTATGAGGCTAAACAGATTGGGACTCTACTCACTGGAGTTTAGAAGAATGAGGGGTTATCTCATTGAAACATTCTCAAGGGACTTGTCAGGGAAAATGCTGATAGGATGTTTCTGCTTGTCTTTGGAACTGTTTGCCACAGAGAGCTGTGGGGGCAGAGTCCTTCTGTATATTTAAGGCTGAAATAGATTCTTCATCAGTAGATGAATCAAGGGTCACAGGAAAAGTTCAGGAAGGTGGATATGATGAATTTCGGATCAGTTAATCACCTATTGGATGGCAGAGCAGGCTTGAGGAGGTGAATGGCCTACTCCTGTTCCTATTTTGTATGGTCTTAAGGATGGCAACATTTGTGGAAGGAGTCTATTAAGCACAGCTGTGGCATGGTATACCAATGAGGATGAAGTGGTAAGTGTTTGCCATTCAGATAGGTAAGCGTAGAGGTGCCTGGAAAGAAAGGGATAAGTAGAATTTGCAAGGCTATTGATCTGAACACTACGGGCAAATTTGCATGGTCAATCCATCCTAGCCTGCACATCTTTGGACTCTGGTAGGAAACCACAGCACCCTGAAGACACCCACGCAGACACGGGGAGAATGTGCAAACTCCACACAGACAGTCGCCCGAGGGTGGAATTGAGCCCAGGTCCTTGGCGCTGGGAGGCAGCAGTGCTAACCACTGAGCCACCATGCCACCCCAGTTTTGTGGGAGAATGCTGAGAAAGTCAAGGTTGGTGTTGGCCTCTGAAAGTGCAATGCCACTCACCATTCGTGCTCTCTTGAGACCCTTGAATCTCTTTGACACTGTCTCCAGATCTGCTGTTTACTTGCTCAGTGCTTCTTTCAAACTGCTTGGTGGGAGAGGCTGTCTTCTTCCTACCATCATTCGCAAATAGTTCCTTGTTTCAGTCCTCCAGATCTGACAGCATAATGTCCAGGTAAGAGTCTATATCCTGGGAATACTTGGAGAGGGTAAAGGGGAGGTAGCCTTTCAGTTCTCATTCCCATTCTGCTGAAGTCACGGAAATCAATTTAAAGTTCAGGCATTCTAAGTCCTGCCAGGTCTCTTCACCTTCCTTACACAGATTTGTGGCAGCATCCTTTCTCAGATTGACAGAGAATGTGGACTAATGGTGATAATGACATGGTTGAGTTTAAAAAAGCTATGACAATGGCTACTTCAATTGCAAATGGTTTAACTTATAATTTCTTCTTAGAGTGGTCTTTTCATGCCAGTCATGTTTAACCATTAAAGTGAATGCAATTATATAGTAAATCATTTCCATTTACAGGGAAAATAATTGAAAATAGAGCATTTAGTAATATCAATTATTTTTGTATTTAAGATTTCAAGTAACGTTCTTGAACATTTAATTCCTCAGCCACAACTCAATGAAACAAATGTAGAGAGCATTGAGAAATTGAAGAAATCAGTGCTTTATGCCAGCCCAGTTGACCCAGCAAATTGGATTGGACTAAGAAAGTCCTCTCCCCTTCTGGTATATCTTAAGGTATGGATTTGCTCCAATATTTCCTAACTTACCTTTCCATTCTAACACTTATTGAACACAAAAAAGCATTATTTCATAAGGGACCAAGGAATGAATTTAAAGTCTGTGGAGAAACTAATGCTCAGCCAGAGTGTAATCATTTGTATATCTATTGGCATTGATTTATGTTCTACATTGCCTTCATTAAAACAAATGAATGCCCCTGATCTTGTTTACATTGTGACACACAACATGTGCTAAAGGCTTTTCAAACTACAAATAAATGTAAAGAGATAACAAGTTGTAGAGCTGGATGAACACAGCAGGCCAAGCAGCATCAGAGGAGCAGGAAGGCTGACGTTTCGGGCCCAGACCCTTCTTCAGAAATGGGGGAGGGGAAGGGAGTTCTGAAATAAATAAGGAGAGAGGGCGAGGCAGATAGAAGAAGGATAGAGGAGAAGATAGGTGGAGAGGAGACAGACAGGTCAAAGAGGCGGGGATGGAGCCAATAAAGGTGAGTGTAGGTGGGGAGGTAGGGAGGAGATAGGTCAGTCCAGGGAGGACGGACACGTCAGGGGGGCGGGATGAGGTTAGTAGGTAGGAGATGGGGGTGGGGCATGAGGTGGGAGGAGGGGATAGGTGGGAGGAAGGACAGGTTAGGGAGGCAGGGACGAGCTGGGCTGGTTTTGGGATGCGGTAGGGGGAGGGGAGATTTTGAAGCTTGTGAAGTCCACATTGATACCATTAGGCTGCAGGGTTCCCAAGCGGAATATGAGTTGCTGTTCCTGCAACCTTCGGGTAGCATCGTTGTGGCACTGCAGGAGGCCCAGGATGGACATGTCGTCTGCGGAATGGGAGGGGGAGTTGAAATGGTTCGCAACTGGGAGGTGCAGTTGTTTAGTGCGAACTGAGCGTAGGTGTTCTGCAAAGCAGTCCCCAAGCCTCTGCTCGGTTTCCCCAATGTAGAGGAGGCCACAACGGGAACAGCAGATGCAGTATACCACATTAGCAGATGTGCAGGTGAACATCTGCTTGATGTGGAAAGTCTTCTTGGGGCCTGGGATGGGGGTGAGGGGGGAGGTGAAGGGGAAGGTGTAGCACTTCCTGCGGTTGCAGGGAAAAGTGCCGGGTGAGGTGGGGCTGGAGGGGAGTATGGAGCTGACAAGGGAGTCACGGAGGCAGTGGTCCCTCCGGAAAGCAGATAAGGGTGGGGAGGGAAAAATGTCTTTGGTGGTGGGGTCGGATTGCAGATGGCGGAAGTGTCGGAGGATGATGCGTTTGATCCGGAGGTTGGTGGGGTGGTACGTGACGACGAGGGGGATTCTGTTTTGGTTGTTATTGTGGGGAGGGGGTGTGAGGGATGAGTTGCGGGAAATGCGGGAGACACGGTCGAGGGCATTCTCGATCACTGAGGGGAGGAAGATGCGGTCCTTGAAAAACGAGGACCTCTGAGATGTTCTCTCAGATTCTCCAGCATCTGCAGTTCCTACTATCTCTCAAATAAATGTAAACTTTATTTATGATCAGTGAAATGGAGGATAGTTGCTGAAAACTTTTGTAATCAAACTTTGACAATCAAATTTGATTCCAATTCAAAAAGATACCAACGAGGAACATTTATATTGTGCTTCCACACTATTTACAACAAGTGTTCTCAGCTCATGAAGTTGATACACTGTCACAGGTCAGCATCAAGTTGCTATGTAATCATTTTGCTTTGAGAGAACTCTCTTTTGGCTATTATTTAGGCATATTTTACATGATCTCCAACACTTTTTGTTCTCAGTGCAGGTTTCACTCATCTGTATTTTGCATTTTTATTTGTATGTGCTTCAAATAATGTAGATTTTTTTTTCATTTGAAAAAAATTAGATTGTCAAGTAAGCCGAATTAAGTTTTTCCTTGGATTATTCATTAGATTATTTTAAACAAGTGATCATAAATTAAGTATAGATCTTGTGCTCCTTTTAAAAGCTGAAGGTAAAACACATATAAATACACCAACTATATTTAAAACAAATCCCTGAGAAATTCTGACTTACTATTCACGAACCCCATATATAAGTACTGGAAAACTCAAGTACGCACATGATCAATGCAGAATTCATCTTCTGAAGCATTGAAACACAATTTGATGGTGCCAATCAGTGGAAGGTATACAACATTAAATCTGACATCATTTTTTGAATGGTTTCACAGGGATTTACAGTATATACATGTAATTCATCCAGTTGGGTGCAGGATTTTCAATAACGTACTGTGAAGATTAAAAGCTTTGCTTCAGACCATAGGAGGGCTGCCTATGCCTCAAGAGTAAATAATAAACGCATTTTTTTATAGGCTGTTGGAGATGTTGTATGGGTGAGAGGAAGGTCTCAGAAACTGATTTTTAGTTAAGTAGCCAACACAAGCCTGGGCTGTTCTGGCTTTTCTGAGGGTGGTATTAAAAAAGAATGGAGAATTCCCTTAGATTAATTACATCATTGTGAAGATTGTCAGTTATGAGATCCATTTACCTTGGATCCTGGATGTCTCAGTCATGTAATCTGTTTCCTGACTGGTCAGCAACTTTCCAAGATCACAAGACAAGTGTACAGCTGGAAGAGCTCCTTCAGTGAAACTGACAAACTGGGTAGGTTTTCATTAGTTATATTAACTCCAGCATTGTCCATTGAGAGACTTCTCTCAGAATGTGACTGTTTGATACATATATGCCAGTTTCTTGGAAGACTGTTCATGTATTGCACAGTGCTGTATCTGCTGGAGGGTCAAGAGCTGATACCACACAACTGCTCACTACCCTAGCAGCAAGAGCAACACCAGCAGGTTATTTTTTTTCCTCAGCTGCATGTTCCTCCATAGACAGATGGTATAGACATGAAAATCCTTCCAGAAGGAGGTGAGACTCTCAACAGCAGGTCTACAGGCAGAGGATCAGCACCCTCAACCAATGTTACCCAAGGCTCAGACACTTATGGCAAGTCACTTTCAAAATGTCCCGGTAGTTTTTTTTTCACAACTAATGAATTAATTTTGAAGTGTAGCCATTGTATACATTGTATGCAGTTATTGAATGTATTGCATAGCCTCCCAGCATAATCTCTCACGGTTTTTCAATACACTTCCATGCTTTCATAGACTTTCATCTTGTGAAGCAGGAGCTCCAACCTGTCAACCAGAAGTAGTTCTGGTTCTGCAATAACTTCCGTTTTTAAAATCATCTGTTATGACAACAGAAAGAAGCACTTGAATAATGGATGTACAGGTGTCAGGTGACTGAGGGGAAGGATGCCACGTGGGTGAAGCTAATTGAGTGAGAAAACTGGTTGATGGGGGAATGCATTGGATCGAAAGGTGCGGGAAGAGCGTTTAGGGATTTTTTTTTAAAAAATGTTCAAAGGACATGGGCATTGCTAGCCAGCATTTGTCATCCATCCCTAATTGCAAAAAGGCAGTTAAGAATCAACCACATTGCTGGGGGTCTGGAGTTACATGTAGGCTAGACCAGGTAAAGGAGAGCAGTTTCGTCCCTGAAAGAAACATTAACAAACAAGATGGGCTTTTCCTCCAACAAGCAGTGATTTCATGGTCATCATTAAAATCCTATTTCCAGATTATAGTTGAATTCAAATTTTACCATCTGCCGAGCAGGATTTGAACTTTGGTCCCCAGAACATCACCAGGGTCACTGGATTAGTGGTCTAGTGATAATACCACTAGGCCATCACTGCCCGATTAGTCCTGTCTGTAAGTCAGGTTAGTTTTGGATATAGTGTTAGAATTAACTTTTGGGGCCTTGTAAAACAATAAACTATACTTTGGCATTTAAGAAATCCATTGGTTTCACCAAGTGAAGTACTGACCTATGTGACAATATTTATAACAAAACAAAAGTACAAATGTTTCAGATTTATCCTTTACATTTCATTTTTTAAAATCTATTTCCTTGACTAGAATTTCCCACACATCCCATTTAGTTAATATTACTTCAGAGATAGTAGGAACTGCAGATGCTGGATAATCTGAAATAACAAGGTGTAGAGCTGGATGAGCACAGCCGGCCAAGCAGCATCAGAGGAGCAGGAAGGCTGATGTTTCGGGCCTAGACCCTTCTTC